ATACTCTAAAAACGATACCAAACAGATTTTTATCACGGCACAAGGAAATTCGGAATTACACACCCCCAAAACAATCAATAAAATATGCCTCTCTATATATAAATCCTGTGTATCAAGCTATAAAGTTGAATCAGTATATAAACATGTACCAGCAGCTCGAACTCTGTGTGATCTGGCCTTTGCTGACGAACCGAAGACACTTTGAACAGTTCTCCTAGCACGGCCAAGTTCGATTCCCATAGAAGCAGAATCCATACTTACTCCGAAGCAACTGTTCCTCTCCGTCATCCGGAGACTTTTACCAGCTAAATTCCTACTACGCAAGTCACTAACGCCTTGCAAAATCCTTCGATTTTGAAGGCCAAATCCTGTGTTGCCTTTGACTGTGAAAGTTGAAGCTTGCATTTTGAAAGCCTTTTATGCTTACCTATGAAAAAAAAGGTACATGTAACGGAAAAGTCAACAACATAAAAAAGTAATAAATAAAGCAATACACAAAACGCCCACACTCTACACTACTATCAGCGAAACACCGTCTCATTTCATCATCTACACTACAGTTCGACATGAATCGGAAATCAACACCAGATTTGAAGCAAAATAGGTCTCAAATCGCAATCCAAAGAGCTGGTTATATGAAGAAATCAAACAAAATCGCAATGAGATTGAAAATTATGGAAAAAAATCAAATCGAGAACTGGAATAAATACAGTGAAATTATGCCAAGTAGAGTGTTGAAGGTGAGAGATTTTTGAGTTTGCTAATTGTATCTTCTTCGATGAATGTTCTTCTTCGTTGCTTTCTCGTTAAATTACAGCAGAATTTGCATTGGGAGGTTCGATGAATTCGAAGAGAGAATTGTGATGGAGAGAACTGTTCGCTTACTTTTTATATTAACTGATTGCTTACTAGTTTACTAACGAAGTTGATCGACAATTCAATTATTTTATCTTATGCTCCTTCTTTTCTTTTTTCTTTTTCAGGTACTAGGTGAAAATAATTTTAAAAAGTAACTTATCATTGTTTCTTTCATTCGTCTTTTAATTTTTTATTTTGTCTATTTTAATAGTAGTATTTTTTTATTTATAACTATAAAATTTTAAAAAAACTTATTTATTTTCTTCACATTTTAAAAATCAGACAAAAAGGCTAAAAGGGAGAGAGTATATGGTAACTTATTATTTAGAGAATATGCAAAAACATAAAACTATGGTGTACACTTCGACTGATTCTAGCATATTTATGTCATAAATAAATTTGTATTTAATGTAAGTAATGGTATTTAAGTATGGTTAAAGAAACTCGTTTACAAAAATTAGAAAGAAGTATCGAACTTTTTTTCCAACTTGAAGTAAATTATTAATTTTATTTTTGAATTATTGGCAGTCTTATAAATATTCATGTACTGGATTAATTAAACTTACAAATATTTTGATCTGCCACGTAACATAATCAATGACCTCAAACTTTTGTAGGAGCATGAAACTATTAATAAAAAACTGAGAGAAGTATTGAAAACAACTCTAAAATTAACAAGAATTTTTTATATAACTATAATAAATTATAAATTTATTTATTTATTTAGAAGAAAGGAGAAGAGAAAATAGGAGGAGGTTATGGATAGAATGCAGTTGGATTGCAGATTAGATTTGGGCTACGTGGGAGATTACATTACAATTTACACGGGCCCGCACGTGATCTGTTCTCTGACAATCTCATTATTCCTTCGTTAAATTCACTGCTCATCTGTGGCCCAGGGCTCGGCCCGCTAATTCTATGGGCCGTAGAATTAATTCAAGACATACGGGACCATATAAATTTTCAGTTTTGGCGTCCATTTTTAGTAAAATGTACTGTATCTTTTTAGTCTACCTAACAAGATTTTCCCCCTTTTCTTTTATCATCATGCAATTTCACAGAAAGGTGGGCTGGGCAGCAAATTTCAGTTTAGATAGTCAATTCATTGAATTATTAAAATTTCACATCTAGGGTATTTGCATGCTCTAACACGAAAATTAATGCATTTAGTAGTAAATTTTTCTAATTATTTAGAGTTTGGTTCATAATACTTTGAAGTGGCCAAATATATGAACTTTTCGTTGCAGTCAACTATTATTGTATGACATTTGGTAAGAGGAATTCTAATTATGATTCATCTAATTAAGTAATACCATAAAAAATATGGTGTGGTGAATGAGGTTACTTTTCCTTTAATCAGAGATTTTAGCTTTAAATTTTGGGTATGAAAAAATTCTTGATAGAGAGACCTAAATGAATGCTACACGATATAAATTTAAATTAATCAAATTCTAATACAAATATCGAACATGGGATGAAACCTCTCAAAAGAAGAGAATATTGTAGTAAGAATTGAAATTTTAACCGCCGTTGCCCACTATGGGTATGGATAACTAAGAATTTTATTGAAAATTTCACAGGTAACATAGCATATTGATACCCAAGTAGAGCTATCAATTCTCATTTATATTTTGCCAACCCGCTCATAATTTATATGCCTTTGCATTTAAACAGGTTAGCTGAGTGACATTAAAATGTGAATGGAATGTAGGTTGAGCTACGTCATTCAAAATCGAATTGAACATAATAGTTTCAATCGAAAAAAGTTATTGCTTTAGTGGTTATGAGTTATTGATTTAGCAGTTTTGATAAGGATTTGATAAAAAAAAATTGTATCGATTTATCGATTTGAATTTTTTTCTTAACGAGTTATCGACAACTTGATAGTAAATTAATAATTACATTTATACTATTCAATATATAAAATTCTTACTTGGGATTTAATTGCATGCTTTTGCCTCAATCTCTCAGTGATTCTATAAGGCGTCTGCCAATATTTGTTTATGAGGGGAAAAAAAAAATTGTCAGCTCATGTGCATGATTCATTTGATCTGTTAGTGACAAATTGTCATCTAAATTCTAAGTGAAATCTTAACTGCTAAATCATTTACAATCAATAATCAATAAATCGATATCTTAATGATTTAATAATAGTTTGACATGTCTGTAAATCAATAACCTATAAGTCAAATCAATAAGCTACGAAACCAAAATTGATCAATACAATTTTAGGTCGATCGAACCCAATTTTAACCCATAATAAAATAAATAAAAACATGTAAAATATAATTTCAAAATACAAGTAACATTGAACACAAATTAACTCACGTATATAAATGTTACTACTTGTTTTAAGTTTATTAAATAAAAAATGTAGAATTTGCAACAAGTCCCCAACGGTAAAAAAACATTAGAGAGAGCTACCATGCTTTGATAGGCATGAGAAAAGTTTGAGAAAAGTTTCACAATACGTTCACAAATCTTCAAAAAAGGAAGGAAAAAAAACTAAACTTCATCAACACTGTTTGAACAACTTCCAAAACTTCTTTTAAAAATAAAACAAACTACTAAAATTCATCAATTTCTATAAGAGAGGAAAAAATTAGTATTGAGTTATTTTGAACTGAAAAAGAGGTTAAGAAATATCACAATAAAATAATTTTAAACTGATGTCATATTGAAAAAACTTTGTATCTAAGGATGTGACCTAGTAATAGCTATCAAAATGGATTTAGTTCGTTAAGTCGGCCCAACCCAACCCTTAAGTGTTGGGCCTTATTTTTTGGGCCCATTTAGAAATAAGACTTTTTTTCCCAGACTCATTTAACCTGCTAGCCTCGTAGGCCCAACCCGCGAGGCTTAGAGGTTAGCCCATGAGTTATAAATGTTAAAAATATTTATTATAAATATTTTAGTAGTGTTTTATTTTTAAAGATTTTGTCAATAAATATTTTTAAAAATATAAAATTAAGTCTTACTCCTTTTTAAATCTTTTACATTTTAGGGTCATTAGCCCACTAAAATCAAGCCTATTTTTGTTTTTATGCCTAGTTTTTCATTTCCCCTTTGTTGTCTTGTTTATGAAAAAATTGATTGTGTAATATTTTTTGCTCAGATGAATCTTACAATATTGTATCTTGACTATTATGTATTTTTGTAAGTATTCACTAAAGTGTGTATTTCATACATGAATTTTTTGTATGTATTGATGTCATGTTCATCAAACATCAACGTTTGATACTCTTAGATACTCTTTCTAAGAAACCAATGTTGTTCATTTTTTGGGTGAAGGGTCGATCCGTCCCAATCTGTGGCCTGCTTAAGGCTAGGTTGAGCTGCTATTTTATAAGCTCTTTAACTAAAAGGGTCAGCCCATCCTAACCCATTTAACTCTCTAGCCCGTTAGGGTTGGGTTGGGTTGGCCAACCCATTTTTGACAGCTTTAAGCCTAGTGGTCAATAAAGTGATTGAGAATTATGAAATCTCTGAATTAAATAAAAAATACTAGGTTATTCTTTGCATTTTTCCTAGTCTTGGAGAACAAAGTAGTAAACATAATACTTGTTATTGTTGGGAGGAACATTACGATCATCAAAAAAAGAAAAAAAAACTTCATTTTGATAAACATAGTTACATGATATTTGTTGTTGGTTGGAGGAACACCACGATCATTAATTGGAAAAAAATTTAGCTGCTGTAATTGGTTGATTATTCAAATTTTCACCTTATTATTAAGGATTCGATTCTCCACTTTATAATTTCTTATTTCAATATAAAATAAAAATAAAAATTAATAGGTATTCAGTCGTCTTAACATAAGTGTCAATTTTCCTTAATAAGAGGTCTTGAATTTGAGTCTTCCTGGATACGAAATCGTTTTATTTTTCATGTGGGACTTCACGATGAAAATTCGAATTTAATCACGCTCTTATGTGATTAGTGAATACAAGATGAAAAACCAAAAAGAAAGTGTCAACTTAGTAAAATTATGTGTATTAAAAAATTAATAAGTATAATATATGGTTTACTAAACTACAACTACAAAAAATAATAATTTAAGATGATAATTATTTTGAAAGGCAAAGTAATTTCTAATAATAATAAAATTAAAAACGAAACGAGTACTTATACCATATCCGTAAAATATCATCTCTATGACTCTATCCAAAGCTCTCAAGAAACATAAATGGTGGTGGCGGGCAAATTCACTCTGCCCAACAGCGCTTCTTCTTAGCTCCAATCATTTTCTTTAGAAAGCTGAGAGAACTCTTATCCTCCCTTCCTATATTGCTCAATCCAATTGAGGTATGTTAAGGATTAGTTTTTTTTTTCTTTCCCTTTCTTCCCCAATTTATGATTTTGCTTTCAATTCTACAACTTTTGATAATACCCATGATGTTTTTAGGTCAATGTTGCATGCAGTATATGCCCCCAAAAGTTGCTGTATATCGCATTCAAGAATCCCTTGTTATCAAAAGCCTTTAGCTCCTGTAAGGCTTAGAGTATTAGCTTCACTTCCAGAGCCTAATGGGGTTAAAGTTGAGTTCACTCCTTGGTTGATTGTCGGATTGGGAAATCCCGGAAACAAGTATCATGGGACTCGCCACAATGTAATTTCCCCCCTTTTTCGAAGTTCAATTTTGTGTGTATTTGTATTTGCAGAGCTTTTTTCACTGACTTTGTATTTTGAATAATGCATTTTGCTGTTTCTTGATTATGGGGTTTTGTAATTAGGTTGGTTTCGAGATGATTGATAGAGTTTCTCAAGAGGAGGGCATAGTGTTAAACACAATACAGTCGAAGGCCTTGATAGGGATAGGTGGTTATTCGAATCTGTTTGTTGTAATTTGTGTTCTCCTTACCAATGTTGAGCTTAGACGGGTTCTTTTTGATGGGCTTGGTGCAGGTTCCATTGGGGAGGTACCTGTTGTATTGGCAAAGCCTCAGGCCTACATGAATTTCAGTGGAGAATCAGTATGTATTTAGCCGCTATTGTTGTTTAGTATTTCAGTGTTATAATCCATTATTTTTATTAGTTATTCAAAGTAAAGTATTGAGTACTTAATGGCCATATAGACAACATTAAACGCTTTTCTATCATTGGTTTACACATGTTTCTTCCATTTCGATTGACATGGATAGTTGCTATGATCAGCTGTTGTGTTTGCTTCACAATAAAGTGATTACTTTTGTTTAGACTGTCCCCACTCCCTTGTGATAACCTGTGTAACAACCTTGTCGCCTTTGATTTGGATCAAAGCTTTTATTCTGCCTTGTATATAATGTTCTTTCAGCATTGTAGAACTCCACTCAGTGGACTTGTTATCTCTTATTAAATCAGCTTCTACTTGTAATGAACACACACGTTACCTATTATGCTTGTGCATCTTCTGCTTAGAAAGAGTTGAAACATGTCAGGTTCTTTGATCAACTCTCTGATTGCCCTAACATTAAAGTCTTGGTGGATGTGGACCAACACTTCAAGCTAACCAGATGCCATCTGCTGCATATCGACCCTTTGCATAGAAACTTGCCTTCTAATTTTTCTGAAACTGATAACAAAATTCGCAGTTTAGCCCTCTTATCAGGTAGCAAATGTTATACAGACATACTATTCAATCAGACATAGTTTTTATTTCCATTTTACTATATTTTGATCAGACCGACTGGTTCTTTGAAATATTGTGATTAGAATGAAAAAGAAAAGCTTTTTCACTGATAGTTCTACTTCCTAAATATTACTATTCCACAACTAGCTAAACGGCAGGGATTTTAAAGCAATTATGTTCTACTTACTTTCTCTTGAACTGTTTATCTGCTCTGGTGTTTCGTGTTTCAGTATTTCACATATGTAATTGACTAGGGTGAGATGGTGTGGAGTTTTCTTCAATATTTTGAAGAAGGTTTCCAATCATTAAAAAAAAATCAATTTTCTGCAAAAATGATTTCAACCAAACACCAAGAAAGAGAAGTTCTTCTGTTTTTTTGTTTTTTTTAAACTGATAACTTTTCAAAGCCACTCAAAAGTAGTTTTTCAGTTTTGAGAAATGATGGAGAACTTTTTCTTGATATTGGTTGAAAAACAATATTTGGAAAAAGAAATTGAAAGGAATTTCCAAAGCAAGTTTTTTCAAGCAATCACAAATTTGCTTATGTTTTCAATATTTTCACACCTTTCTAGAACTTTTGAGACCTTATTTTTTCTTGTGAGTTTGTCATTTTACTTAGAAGATTTTTATCTTTTGATAAAGATCATTTATTTAGAAGATAGCACAAAGTTGGATATAGTTATTTCCTCTGGTTGGCTAAGTAACCAAGATAAAACATGAACGATAGAAATCATGCTGCTGATGGTTCATTACAGTTACATGTATATGTGATATAATAGATGCTTTAATTTGGTAAAAGCTTGATCTGGTTGTTCCTTAGGATGTCATCTGAAAGGCGCTTCCTATGTATATCCTTAGCTCTTGTGTGCTACTTTCCCTGTTCGTTCTCTCATTAAATGTGTAGTTTTTGTAATGTTGCATCTCTTACAGTTCTTGCTTTTATTGACAAAAGTAACAAAGCAATTCTTTCGTCTCTCTATCCTTTTCCCTGTCCATTCTCTTTTCCATTTTAGGGTGATATTTATCTTTCTGGGAGGGGAGGGCTCTTTATTCCTCTTTGGTTAATATGGACCTCATCCAAATGATTTTTTTTAATCCTACTAGGTTGGACCGCTTGCAGCATATTATCAGGTGCCGTTGCGCCACATCCTTCTGGTATGACTTTTTTTTTCTTCATTTTTCGGTAACTGTAGGAGATAGTTTATCTTTGCCTTTTTTTTAGGGTTGAGGTTGGTGTTCTATACTGGATAATACTATGTACGTGGTGCTCCAAATATTCTTATCCCATGATTTGAAGTTTCCAGTGTTTTGTACTCATCCTTGTAGGTTTACGACGAGATGAGCTTACCCAATGGTATTTTGAGACTCCAGCCTAAAGGAGGACATGGCCATCATAATGGGTATTGTTCTTGAGTAGTCAAATCTAAATGGCACTGGCTCTGTAATCGTACTGTGTGTAATATTAGTTCATTGGTTTTTTTTCCAATGGACAGATTATTAAGATCTCTATTGACCGTGCAGAATATAGAAAATTCTCATTTGATTTCTGTTTTTATTCGGCAGGGTGAAAAGTGTGATGGAGCATTTGAATGGTCGCCGGGACTTTCCACGATTTTGCATAGGTACCTCCTGACTGCTTATCATTTGTTGTGGAAGCATAATCACATAATTACCAATTGAAACTGTGTTCATATACCACAAAATTGCTCTACCAAATCCCGAGCTAAAAGCCATGTTTTTCACGTATTTGTGTAGGCATTGGGAATCCACCTGGGACTATGGACATGAAGGCATATCTTTTACAAAAATTCAGTGATACAGAGCGGAAACAGGTACTTGCACTTCTTGATGCTTGTCAAAGTACTATTCATCTTATCTTATCATGAAAGCATTCCAATGGATGGGTCAAGTTGTCTCTTAAACTTCATTATCATATATATACCTTTGTTTAGTCTCCGTCTCCTCTTGTAAAATAGACATCAGAATAAGGTGGTGCTGGATATAGCTATTGATTTCTCTGCCTTGTATTTACGCATATGATGTATTGCAAGGAACTCTCAATTGGTTTCTCCTTACCTTTCATTACTTCTACCACAGAAAAAAAAGATTAAGTTAAGCAAGAATAACAATGTGAGCTCTTGATGTTCAATAACAGTTTTCATGTTTCTCTTATTGTACACGAACAGGTGGATGCAGCACTTGATCAGGGAGTTGCGGCTATGAGGACGGTAGTATTGGAAGGATTTGGCAGTAGAATCTCGCGATTTAATATAGGTCAGAAATACAAGTATCACAAAGTTTGATGTAATGAATCTAGAGAATGTATGTATGGAAGAACACAATAGTTGTAATAACTTAAATCTAGCTAGTTGAACGTTTCACTGGGGTCTACTTAGAAAGGTTTTGGACTCAGATTAATGCTTATAGTTTCATCTGTAAACACTTGCAGAATAGACTTATTTCAAAGGAAAGAAGAACACATGATGTAGAATAGAATTCCATTTTGCAAATTTGTTATTGAACATGTTAAAAATGCGTGTTCACGGCTTATATGTAATTCTTGTTTTTTTCCTTCTCTTACGACGATTAATTCCTAATCGTCCGTTCAATGCTAAATAAGAGCGAGAAAGTCATAGCGAATCGAAAACCGAACTGTTAGATTGATCGAAAAGGGATAACAATAAGATCGGTTTAACATGTTTACCACTTTATTATAGTTAATAGAAGATAGTATTAATACTCCATCATTGACGGAACTGTTTAATATCTTATGCACTTGATGAGAATCTTGAATATTTTGCACTTCAAATGACCATTGATTGTTGTCTTTGAAGCTTTTCAAGACAATTTCTCTTTATTTATCACAACTTTAATTGCATTACTATTATTGATGACTTGATTTTCCTTCATGAAATCACTTGAAAATAATGTCAAATAAACATTAATTTGGAACAAAAGGCATAAAAAATTGTCTTCTAGATCAAGCTCGTTGCACTGGGCTTGCCCAATGAGGGTTATTTTTACTTTATGCGTACCCAAAGGATAACGGTTACTAGGGAACGTGGTAATATTGGTATATCCACGAATGCACGCTGAGAAATTGCCGTCCGATTTGCAAAATATTTTTTATGAGAAGAAAAGGTCCTTTTCTTTGCCTTGTCATTTTTGAATTTTGGCATAGGATTCCAACGTTAATCATCATGCTAATTTCATTTTCCTTTGATTCATAGAATCCCTAAATGTGCTTTATCATTAAATCTTTTGGGTTTAGTTAAGACTTTTGGACCCACCTTTTTTTCAATACGAACGTTAGAAAACCAAAAGCAATAGAAAATTATAACTTAGTCCTTTTTGCCTTGTTTATTATCAGACCGTTGGAGACTCAAAAATCTTTTGAAAAACAACAAAATTTTACATCAAATCCAAGAACTCATCATCTTTAACTCCAAACACAAAACTCCACAAGAATTTATTGTCTACGCCATGTCTGGGAACAATGAATCTCTGATTCAAACTCAAACCCTTAATTCTCTCTACGCCGCACTAGACCCCAAGTCCCTAATTCTATCTCAATTTTCAAATTCCGATCATCCCCAATTCCTTCAACTCACTACAGATTGTTTATTCATGGAGAGGGGTCCTCGTTACAAAGCTTATGCTGATCTTAGAGAAAAGAAATTGCGAATAAAGCACATGATACAATCAATTCCTGAAGAGGAAGAGGAATTGGTATTCCAAGAGGAGTTTGTTGTTACTCCGCCGAAGAAACAGGTGAAATTTCAGGGGAGTTTGGTAACACCACCTAAGAGGACAAAAGGGTCATCGATTTTGGCTCAATCAGTGCCTGATTTTTCATCAGCATTGAGGAAGGAGAATCGGAAGCCGCCACCTACTATGCTGCCGACTTTGAAGGAGAAGTCGGCTACGCCGCCTCCGGCTGGTTCGAAAACTGGGAAGTTTTATGGGGGTGTTGGGAGTATTGGAGGTAGCAAATCGGTGAATTCAGGGGATAAGAGGATTGGGGGTTTGATGACTAGGAAGAGTTATGCTAATGTTGATGAACTGAAGGGATTGGCTTCTGTGGCAAGGAGTGCCATTAATGGAGAAAACAGAGTAGGAAGAACTAACAGAGTTGCTGCAAAGACTGTTCTTGGAAACAGACAATTATGAATTCTTTTTTCTTGTTTTCTCTTAGGGGTTTTGATTCTTTAATTTGCTCGGAAAGGGTGCTTTGGTGTAATTGGTAAAATTGATACCATAGACCCTTGTGGTTTGGTCCTTTCCAGAAACCCCGCACATAGTGGGAGGTTAGTGCATCGGCTGCCGTTCTTTTTTTTATTTGCTTGATGAAAGATTGGTTTTTGATTTCCTTTTTGTTTTCCTTAAAGAATATTTATTTTTCAAATTTGGCTAAGAGTTGTATAGAGCAATGGGTTTGAATCAGACTGATTCATTGTAACCGAATGGGAACTATAGAAAGTAATTTGGTTATGGATTGATGAACATTGAATATCATAATAATAGATTTTTTCTTATTGCATCCATTTTTGTATCCCTTCTAATTGTTCTTACATTTCAACCATTTTTCATTTTGTGCCTGTCAATTGGTACTGTTCTTAAATGCTCATTCATGAATAAATAGGAATATAAGACGCAGAATATATGATTTGTACAAAATACTTTGCTTGAAATTATTGAGGCCAGAGTTATCACATGAGAACACTGATAGGCTTACTACAAACTCTCAAAAAGAGGAATATAAGATGCTCATTCATGAATAAATAGGAATATAAGATGCAGAATATATGATTTGTACAAAATACTTTGCTTGAAATTATTGAGGCCAGAGTATCACATGAGAACACTGATAGGCTTACTACAAACTCTCAAAAAGAGGAGCTACAAACAGTTCCATCCAAATTTAGCTAGAACTGTAGAGGTCCAAAACAACTTCATCTACTAATACTTGGAGAATATGCCTACCAACTTCAGTGCCACATTCAAATTCTTCAATCTCAAAATCGGTCCATTTACCCAAAGCATGGCTCATGTCCCATTCTATTAGCTCGTCGGGGATCAACCCAACAAATTCTGTCCACTCTTTGACCTCTTCAATAATATCAGCAATCAGAATCTCTTTAGTCATGCTTGATGGTAGTTTAGACCAGATTCTGAAACCAGAATCAGAGTATCGACCAAATTTTGAGTCTAGATACTCTAATAGACAATCAAAGGCAAATCCTTTAAGCTGATTCATCTGTTTGGGATCATTACAGCCAAGCAACTGACCAAAAGTCATCCATAGAAGACTTGATAGCATTTCAAGTTCATTGAGGAGAAAATGGCTCACGGATAACCCATCGTCTACAGGTAAAGCCTGTTGTTCAGGTGTAGTTCCAAGTATGAGTTCAGTATTCAAAATGACCTCATTTGCGTAACCGAGTTTGCTTCCTTTTAACTGATCAATCTTGCTTAGCACTCCAGAAATGTTGTTAACATGGTCTGTGATCAGTGCTCTGCAACTCCTCCTGGTGAATAATGAGGTCACACAATCCGAAAGATCTCTATCAGGTTCTGGAAAGAGTGGTTCATCATAAATAGAGTCCACGGATTCAGCAAGCACTTTGTCCTCTGGAGGTACACAAGCATATACATTAGAAGCATGTATGCATGAAATCCAAATTCAGAGTTGTCCTTTTTTCATTTTTATGTGTTTTGAGAGAAAGAAAGGAAGTATGCAAATAGTAAAATGTGTATGAAGGACCATACTTGAGCTACTATTGGGACTGCTGGAGAGGTAGCTGTCAGTTGAAAAGGTAGCTTCAAGAACACATCCTGGACTAAGGTGATCATTATCAAGTGAATTCCCAACTAAATCAGTTGCTGAATCTGGTGTGGCCTGAGCACAAATTCAAAAGCAATAATAAGATTCAGACTGATAACTCGGTTTATAACCGAAACAAGAGCATTTAAAAATTTTCATGCACTTAAAGAGCAAGGAAAGAAATTATTGAGGGGAAAAATGTTGAATAGTTCAATAACTAAACCTCTTTGGCTGAGTGAGGAAAGAAGAAAAGGCCTTCTCAAAACTCAGAAGCCTAGCCTACATAATGACAACCGAAAAAGGTTTCATTTGACCTTGGGTGTCAAAATTTTACGAGGCAGCTGCTAAATTACTATCATAAATCAGGTGCCTAACCCGGGTATATGTACTTAACGGAAAGACTGATAAACTGGCTTTTATGCATTAAGAAAGTAAGACCATTAGAAATGCTAGTTCCTGACCACTAATAGTGCAGTTCCAACAGTCGTAAGTGTTTCACATTTACTAAGAAGCCAAAAGCAGTTGATATTCTAGCTTTGAGCACAGATGCATACATCGCCTTAAGAAGAAATATGCATAGCTTAGTACAGATGTATTTGCTAGCTTTTTGGTGCAACCTGGTCATAGTAAATGATGTAGATTCCCTGATAGAGATGATATTAAATTTGCACAATCTGTAACTTTTGATGCACTATCTAACTGTTGTTCTTCTTATATAAAATTAAACCCTTATCATAAGAGAAGCCAAAAACAGTTAAATAGTGTATGTGGAATATGCACTTCTCATTTCTAATGGAAAACGAATGGGAAGAAAGATCCTTCAAATGTATGTTATGAATTATCCACAAGTCCAAAGCTGTTTACCCCTCTTAAGAAATCGTAGATATTTATGTCGCTCCAGCTTTAAAAAGGAAAACATTTCATTCATTGCAATTTCAGATAGTTAACATTTAAGCAATGGTTACCTGGAAAATCATGCAAGTACTTCTTGAAGACACGTCACCATCATCACACAAATCTTCTTTTCTGGTAGGTCTAACAGGCAAACTATCCAGATGAAATTGTCTCTCAGCATTCAAAGCAGTTATTAGCTCCTGAAGGATTGTCGCAGTGCTTTTTCTAGGTGCAGCACCTCCTTCTGCGAACTCTTCTTCACTAGTCAATTCCTTTAGCTTTTGCTCCAAAAGTGCTCCTAAAATGTCTCCTTTCAAAGGAAAGGATTTCTGCAAGCATGCTGTTTCATCATTACCATTAAAGAAGGATCTCCCTGAAGTAGCATCAAAACTTGAGCTATTTTGAGACTTCCTTTTTGTGACTTCTGCATGAATGCCAGCTTTCTGCTTCATTGCAGATTTAAAAGTAAACGAAACAACATTACTTCCCTCAGAACTATCATTGGTTGCACCACTCTCTCGCAAACATGGCAACTTGGGTTTAGCGGAGTGACTATTAACGGAACAAATTGGGTAAACAACATCTTTTCTACTTGTTTTGTCAGAATAAGGACTTGATTCTCTTCCCAAATTCGCATTCACAAAACTAGAACTTTCACCTTGTCTAGAGACATTCATCAATCTCTTCTTCCGCA